GGGTCAGTGCTCTTTATTAGCCAATATCCTGAATAAATTATTCATTTCCATGGTTTTAGTTATTGTCTAAGGCTAGTTTCTATAAAGTTATATATCTGATTTGACCTTGCCTACCACTTATTTTTAATTTGTCTTATACATATTGTCCTTGAAATAGATATCTTCCCAATCTCTAGAAACCAACAGAAGGAAGTCATACATCCTTATTTTTCCTCTAAGATTCCCTTTGAGCCACTTAGGCAATATTTATAAGAATTTGAGTGTCTGTAGCATTTTAACCTAGTAAATTGATTTTTAAAAATGGAAGTAATGGATTCTGCCTTAAAAAGTTTGCAAACTGAACACTTAAAAATTGTTAAAAGTGTTTATTTAGCACCTACTGTGAGCAAATAATTGCACTACTATTGTAATTTGGAATACAGAGAAGCAGCAAACAGATGGTCTGGTTTTATGAAACATAGGCATTAAGATAAATTTATTTGATAGGTTGTTATTGTGTGCCAGCTTCGCTATTGTGCTTAGAGATGTGGAAAAGTCAAACATGGAGGATAATCCTCATTCTTTTACAGGTTGCCTGGGGAGATAAAAACACTAATGGACATGATATACAGTGTATGGTGATGCGTTCTATGAGACAGGAGTAAAGGAAGTGCTGTGGGTGTTGGTTGGGGAAGAGATGAGTTCCAATTGAGCATAGGGGAGACATGAATTGGGAAAGATTTCCCAGAGGAAATGCCATTTGAACAGAACTCTGAGGGATAGTAGTATTTGGTATGAGGGCAGGAGTTTTCTGGATATGGGGGATAAATGCACAGAAGCAACAAGCTGGGGGATATGTATAATCAAACAGATACTAGTGGTATTTTCTTTTATACTTTGTTCCATTATCTCCCCACATTCAGTCAGTAAATAAATCAAGGAAAAGTTCTCCCATTATTATGGACTTATTTGAAAATTGTTTAACTCCTCATTTTTTCCTCTAACACATTTTTACTTGCATCAGCTTTCAACAACTTCAACTAAACTTTGAAATATTCTCTTTGTAAGCTCACTCTTGCCTTTCCTTACATCTCTTTAGTTGGCCCTATATAATAATTTAAAATGATATTTTCATGACCTTGTTTTTAGTTACATTGCCTACTTTCTAATCATCACTCTCTGTTGCTCTTCAAAATACACAGAATTCTGACAGTAAGAAAAAAATGTACTCTTAGGGTGACTTTTATTTGTATTTAGTGATTTTTTATTTTTCAAGTTTTTATTAATGGGCTTAATTTTTAAAGAGTTTTAGATTTACAGAAAAATTAAACAGAGGGCACATTGAGTCCCATGTAGCACCTTCCTCACACATAGTTTTCCTATTCTTAATATTCTAAGTCATTACTATTTGTTACAATTAATAACCCAATAATGATATATTTTTTATTAATTGAAATCCATAGTTTATTGAGATAATTTTATAATGCTCTTTTTTCTGTTCCAGAATCCCATCTGGGATACCTCATTACATGTAATTATCATGTCTCTTTAGGCTCCTCTTGGCTATGACAATTTCTCAGACTTTTCTTGTTTTTCATGACCTTGACAGTTTTGAAGAGTACTGGTCAGCAATCTTGTACAATGCCTTTGTCTTGGAATTTATCTAATGCTTTTCTCATGACTAGACTGGGCTTAAGTGGTTTGAGGAGGAGGATCATTGATATAAAGTCCCACCTTCATAGCATCATATCAAGGGATCAACACAAATTATGACTTGTGTTGACCTTGGTCACCTGGCAGAATTAAGTTTCCCCACCATAAAGAGACTCATTTCCTCCTGCTCCTTTTCCATACTGCACTCTTTGGAAGGAAGTTATAGTCTGTACTTAAGGAGTGGGAAATTGTGCTCTCATTTTTTTCATTTTTTTATTCCTCAAAACAAACTATGAGAAAATGAGGAAGGCAGAGTCAGAATTATTATTCTTCCTCTTTTCCATTTCACACAGGAGGAAAACTCTGTATTTCAGGAATTTTACATGGCTTAAGTGTGGTCACGACAGACAAATGGAAGAAACAGTATTAGATATCATGTATGCTCTCCAGTGCTTTCTCCAAGACAGATTTTTCTGCCAGCCTCAACCATGGCTCTTTAGGTTTTCCTTAGTGTTCTGTCTGTGCATTCTGCCCATTTCTTAGTACTTACAGTTCTCATTCTATTATAGTTGACTTTTCCTTATTTTTTTGACAATGTTCTTCGTGTTTCCTTTGCTCTTACACTTCAGTTTTGTAGGCACTTAATTTTTTATTACAACTAGTTTTCCAAAATTGAATGAGATATCATTGACTAAGACAAGGAGACGCTGGGTGTTTATAGTTTATGTGTGTATCCACATGCATTCTCATTGTCCTGTTCCTTTCATGAATTTAAATATCTTAAGAGTATTCTAACTAATCAATACTCAAAACAGAAATTTCTGTTTCTATCTTCATCTTTAATGATGACAACATTTCTTAAAATGTTTTACTTAAATGAGTTTTACATTTTCCTTCCAAACCAATAAATTTCTTCTTTCAGACTAAGTGGTCCTTGAGAAATGGAGAAATATAGACAAGATATGGCTGGAGTAGCTACAAAAGCCTCTTTCAGAAAATTTATATTTTTTGATAATGGATAATCTGCTAACAAACTGATTTTGTTCAACCCTACTCCAAAATAGTATTTTTTTTCTGGTTTGATGAGAGAGCTAAACAATATTTGAAGACAGGGGTATATTCTTATGTTTCATGTGCTGTCCAGTTTCCTAAAGACTTCTGAGACTGCCAATGGGGTCAGAATTTGAGGCCCTGAGGAAAAAGAAAGGAGATATTATTGAGGACATTTTTATGTTTTTATGTAAAGAGCTGGCAAGACTTGCATATATTTTGGGAGTCTTCTCCTTTGGTTATAACCTTCTTGGTACAAATTAGAGAGAAACTGTATTTGTGGTGGTCTGTTGTCCCATTGCACGTGCTGATGTGCATGGTGTGTGTGTGTGCATGCATGTGTGTCTATATGAGGTTCTTGGGAAGCAGAAAACATTAACCTCCCCAATTTAGTAACAATCTATTAAGAAAAATAGAAATACATTTAAATCAGTGAATCTCAAGAAAACTGTGATCTGCTGTTGGCTTCCCTTGTACCTTTGTCTGAGTCGATGTTACCTGAAAAGTGAGTTATTTAATTTTCACTTTTCAATTTCAAGACAAGAATATAAGACTGATTTTTTTAATCCTTGCCTTCACAACATAGATAATTTAGTAAGCATAACTCAACAGCAGCAACAGAACAAACGTTTTTTCATTGAAATATTTAATAAGTGAAGCCCTCATAGTTGCCTTGGGAAAACACTGGTTTAGTGGGTGTAGTAGTGAGACAGTAGGAAAAGTAAAAATCTGAATGATCAGATCCCATTGTGTTTCTAAAACATAAAGTTATAGGTCCTGGGTTGGATTTTGTAAATTCCTAATCAAAAGCAAAGTATTAAGAAACCCCACTGGTATTTAATAATCCAATGGATCACAGTACCACATTGTTACAGTGGATCATATTTGATATTTTGTGATAGCAAAAAAATGTTGCAGACAGGATTGTTCAGTTTAATATATTCATAGCTGCCTGAAAATGCCCCACATACTTACAGTTATTGCATCAGACACTTGTGATTGCCACACTAAACTGTCTGTCCTCCCTTATATAAAGAAAGTACAATTTATCAGAAGTTTCCATAACTTTTTAACATTTAGTAACCAAGATATCAGATTAGAATAAACAATGGTTCCATATACTATTCCCATTCTAGCTGTTTAGTCAGTTTGTTCTCTTACTATATGAAATACCAACTTCATGCATGGTTGGATTTATAGAGAAATTATACTACATATATGTATATATTTGTGTGTATATATATCCACATACATACATATATACTGCTTTTTGTTATAAAAGTAATACATGCTCATTATAAAAAGAAAAGCAGTACAGTTAGGGATAAAACAGAATATGTTATTCAGTCACCTCAGGATAACTACAGTTAATATATTAGGTAGTCTTCTATGCATATATGTATCACTCTATCTACATATATCTATCCTTTATTAAATAAAAATACCATTCATTTAGTTTTGAAATATTTTTCACTTACATGGCATATATTTTCATGTCAATACAGATCTACATCATTGTCTTTAAGCAGATATTCTTTGATGAACTTCTCATTCAGTTTTTGGATCATGGGGTTAGTCTTTGAGCCTTGGGCCTAGCATAAGGATCAGGAAAGGGGAACTAGGTCAAGAAGCCAAGAGGCAGATGCCATACAATGTAGGTGACAAAGTGAAAAAGAAACCCAGCCCAGAACATCTTCCTGCTGTGGAAGGGGCATGTGTAAGCATCTCTTCCTCCACCTCACCACTCTGCACAACCCTTCATACACAGCACAATCATAAGAAGCCACCCAAGCACTGTCATAAGAAATATTTGATGGAGCAATTAGTTCTTTCCAGATACATATCTAGAGAGGGTACTGCCTTCCTTGTAGTCATAGTGATTGGACTGAGTGGGAAAGGAGGTTTGATTTGGGTAGTGACAAACTTGAGGAAATTTGACAAAGACTCTCATTAATGGATAGCAGCAGCAGCACAATCAATGAGGAGAGGAGGTTGCTGACACCTTAAGTGTAAGGCTGATGACACCTAACTTTGTTCCAAGAGTCACTTCCCTGGCCCCCTTTCTGAACTGCTGAAAGGTGAGAAATCTGGGATGTCAAGAAGAAAGCTTTTTCTATACCTTTTTTAAACCTTTGGGAGAAGGTTATATCAGAAGGAAACCACTCACCTCTGTCCTCCTCTCCTTCCTAGCTGTAAGCTGTAGTTTCTGTATAAGGCAATTATTAAAACATTTTTATCTGTGTTGTTGAAAATGTTAATATATGTATTACAAGAAAGAATATTACATGCCTAATACATTATACCTATTTCTCTTACAGAAATAGATGACAAGAGGGTGCCCAACACACAAGGGGAAGTAAGTTTTTAAAAATATTTTTGTATAAATGTGTTTAAATCAATTAAAATGCAAAAATTTGCTTGATTTGATGTGATATAAATAATATGATACAACTGTAATAAAACTTTAGATTGCTCCTTCTGACTGAATAAACAGTAATACAGTGTCATTAAAATCTCTGCCTCTCGGTTACCTTTATTCTCTGCCTATGTAATGCTAACCCCTGAAAAAACTTTTGAAATAAAACATCACTTTTAATGGCAAAATATGGTATTGACAACTTCAATTTATTGAGTGATTATATATACACACCACAGGCTAAGCCACGTAATGTTGGAATCCCAGAGCAAGGAGATGAGGGTGGAGGGATGACACCTCTTAAAGGGCCTTCTGGTATGTGGAACCAAAAGTCTGAGGCCAGAGTCTAGGGGGACTGAAGTCCTCCAAAGCCTGAGTAACCAGATCCAAGGGGTTCACCTAGAAATGTACTCAGATTTAAATTCAGCAGGCTGTCTGAACACTGTCACTCACTATTCCCCCCACGTACATGTGTAGGAGTTTATATAGAAAATAGGAACCAGGAGAGGTTAGGAGAGTATATAACAGAGAATGTATGAAACACAAAGTGAATAAACTAGTTCCCAGAAATGAAATGAATATTGAATAGGATGCTGTACAGAGTTACTAATCAATTCCCTTGATCGCAGGAGTAGGCATACAGCAATACTTAAAGAGAAAAATGTAGAATGGGCAAAATATCAAATAGTGTATCACAAGACTTTTCTGAAAATTTTGTGAGATAGCGAAAGTGGAAATGCTTTGAAAACTAAACTCTTACATAAATACAAAGTAGTTTTTATTAGTAAGTTTACACTGTGTTACTAAACAACAACAACAAAAAATTTCTGTAGAGTTGATTTTCTATTTGATCTTTAAATATGTGTGTGGAAGTAAACATTAAAAATTCCTAAAGTGATTGCTTCTCAAAACCAGCCAGATGTGACTGAAACAGTATAAGTGCCCCAGAAATGTCAATCATCCACACATTTAACATTAATGTAGAGTCACCCTGTCTATACCTGTGCATAGTATGTGGGTATCACAAAACTCTATTCTGGAGAAATTTGCTTATACTATTTGCTCATCTGATATGGATTTGGTAACTGTTTTGTTGAAAGTTTTAGTTTTCAGTTGATTGCTTCTGCATCAGATAAACAACATCCTGATGATACCTTTGAGGGCAGTTAATCTTTAGTAAGCACGAGGAAAGATGCCTCAAGCTCTGTTTACAACTTTGTAAAACAGTTTCTAGTTTCTTTCAAACCTTGTACATTATGTTCTTCCTAATGTGCATAGCAAGCCTGAAACAATCTTCAAAAAGTGTGTTGTAACTATTTACACTTGAGCTTTTCAAAGCAAAAGTAATTGCCCCAGATGCGAAAACTCATTGATTAAGACCTGTACCCTTGCCACATTAAAACATAAATCAACATGCTATTAAAATGGAGTCTTTGGCATTTTCCAATTGGGGGTTAGACCATATAATTTATTAAATGAATAATATGTATATCCATTATATAGAGCTCTGTATCCTTATCTGTATTTTGATCCTGAAATAAGTTCTTATTTTTGTCATTTTGAAATGCAGAATCTCTTCTTCAATAACTTTATCCCAATCCAATAATGCTTAGGTAAGAGTGTCACATAGCAGTTTTCTTAGGAAAGGACTTATCTTTTAAACATATGAAGAATGTTACCTCAACGTTATAATTTCAAGTAACTGGAGGTAATAGTTGAACATGTCAATTCAAGATGGCTATAGACTGCTCTTACTTTCCAAGGATCCTCATTGTCCCCCTTGAATCACTCAGTAACCCCACGAACGGATAGTATTATTCCCTGTGTTGGAATATACTTTGTCATGGAACTCAGACTGTTTTTTTCTCTCAAATGAAAAGGATTGGTGTCTCTTTTTCTCTTCCTTTTTAAAAATAAATTAATGTTATTAGGTAGGAAAGTAAAATGATTTCAAGGCTGCCGTGAATGAGGAATCTTATGATTAAGTAGACCCTACAACTCCATATATTCTTAAGTCTGTGATATCACTAATGTGTATATAATTTCTCATTAATTAGATTCTATTTCATGACAGGGAGAAATCAGAAAGCTTTTCATAACATGGCACAGTATTTATTTCCCTCACAGGTCTGATGGCATCGTATTTTGTATGCAAATCTAAGGCTTTTACTTTTTTCTCTTTCTCCACAGTCTCAGAATGCATCCCCTAAGCAAAGGAAGCAGAGTGTGTACACACCACCCATCATAAAAGGTACTGTTCAGGTACTGTTTCGGGTTGTCATGAGTGCTGAATCATGGCTGGTTGGCCATCTGTTCTCTAAGACCACACATTTGATGATAAGCTAGATTTAGTCTCAGCTCTGCAACTTAGCAGTGTGATGTTCAGTAAGATACCTTATCTACTTAAAACTTAGTTTCATCAAGAGTAAAATATGGGGTTGAATAAGAAATAACTAGGGATCTCAGAATTTCAGTCTAGAAATTCAGAGTTTCCAAAATAATGACACAGATTTTTTTTTTACCCTTATTCGCATACTTCCTTAAAGAGATTTTTCCAGCAGCCCTAATTACTCTTGCCAGTGTTGGCAGATGATTACCATTTTCCTCTTGGCTAAAGCAAAGCAGAATAACTTGAATTTCAGGGAGACTGAGTATGAAGCTTTGCCTCATTGTCTTGTGTCAGGAGCAGCTCTGAGAATCTCAATCAAACAGCTATTCACTGTACATGTCACTCCTACTGAAACAACAACTAAGGATCTAGTTCAGATTCTGGAATTTTCCCCAGAATTGGAACTACTAAAAGAAGACCCATCAGTATCTTGCCCAATATCGGTTCCAGGGAAAGCATCTCTTATTTCTCACACTGAAATGGCCCTGATTTGAGGTAGAGTCTGTCCAGTCTACTCTCTCATGTTTTTTCCAGTCCGGTGCTTGGGCTGTGGGCCCAGTGGTTGATCATGCTCACTTTGTCCAGCTGAGTTTCAACTGCATGAGAGGCCAGCTGAGCAGCTTCCTCTGGAGTTTGGAGAGAGGGCTAAATTGGGAGTGAAATTTCCCGCTCTGTATTTGCTCTAGATTTGGAGCCTATTCAGGGAGGCAGGATATAAATGGACACATTAATAGCTACTTTCAGTAAACTTCCTTCCTCATGCAGCTATAAAACACCGTGTTTGCTTGCTCATAAGACTGCAGTACAGAATACAATCATCAGCATTGTAGTTTATTCCAGGGTAATTATTGAGACTACTAGGCATCTCTCTCTGAAGATAAGTTTAATCACTTTAAAGATATTTTCCCCATTGTAAGTGATTTTGTACTTTCAAGACACATAAGTTTTGGCATGAATGGGCAACAAGGAAAAATATATGTTCACTCATTTAATGATTTCCTCTGCTCTATTTTAGGTTCGCTTAAACTAAATAAAGTAATACTGTTCTCATGTCCTCAGAGAATAATAGTATTTATTTTTAAAGGAAAATCTTAAACTGAAAGTCTCAAGGGCCCATGATGTTCATTATATTTAATTCTCAAATATCAAAAGAATGTGGGATCCTGACATTTAGGGAAGTTAGTCCTATTATACATTTTTGCATAAAGCCTTATACTGTCAAGTCCCCCCAAGATACTCATTTAATGATAATCATTTGTGGTCATAAGTTAATGCCTTGAGAAAGCACAGTAATTGTTTCAAGAGGATATCAGGGTATTATCACAAGTCATGTAGGTTCTCATTTATAACCAGTAAATACCTTTGGAAGGCCCTGCTTATGATAAAAGAAAAGAGAAAGCTAAATGCACATATTTTATTTGGTTTACTGGTCCCTAAGAGCTAGAAATAAGTATTTTAAGACAACACGAAGCAGTAGTAACATATGGCATGTTGTGAGCATTTTAAAACACTTCGGTTATAAGAAAGATGAATGAGCAAAGGAAATGTTTTGAAGATCTTAAATATAATGATACAATTGCTCTGAAATGTATAATTCTTCAAATTTCAGTGGAATGGAACATGCAATTATTGAGAGTAAAAAGATTTGCTGAGGGCATAGTAGTACATGCCTGTAGTCTCAGCTACTTGGGAGGCTGAGGTAGGAGGATGGCTTGAGCCCAGGAGTTGGAGGCTATACTGCACTATGATCATGCCTGTGAATAGCCACTGCATGCCAGCCTGGGCAACATAGTGAGACCCAGTCTCTAAAAAAATTTCTAAAACGAAAAAAGGAATTTGTACTCATAGATTCTTATTCTACATCTTGTTGCCATTTGTGAATTTTTAAATGACCGATATCTAAATATTTCAAGATATCTGTTAGGTCTTTGTCTCATACTAAATTTTCTTTTTCCAGGTTGAAATATCTTGATGTCAATTATACCTGTTATTTAGTTATTTTGCCTTCATTCTTGATCTTCTAATAAGCTCCACTTTGCCTATATCATTCTAGAAGTCCATCATTCAAAATGAACCTAATGGTTAAGATGTGTTCTGATCAGAAACTTTTGGAGACTTCAATTATGCCTGAAACCTCCTTCAACCCAGATACTTTAATTCTATTAATGCAACCCAAAATCTTAGCAGCTTTTTGTGGCAGCATTACACATTGTTGGCAAACAGTGAGATGACTCTAAAATCAAAATGTCCAAGTATTTTACAGGTACAGCTTTCCATATTATTCACCATGTATTCCCCATATTGATGTCTTCAATTAGTTTATATCAAAAACAATACAGTACTGTCATCCCAATTGAATTGCCTATTGTTGGAGACAGACTGTTACATCGGCATGTTATATTTTGTATCCTGATTCTGTTATTCATTCTATTTTCAACTATCTCAATTGTGTGCCATCACAGATAAGAGAAACCTATTTTGTTATTTTTATCTGATGCATAACAAACATATGAAACAAAACACAGCTAAAAGAGAGCCCTGCAGCAGTCCACATATCCCCCTCTAATTCATATTGATCCCCTCGTTGCCACCATTTAACCGTTTATCAAATAGACTTACTATATCAGGGTTCCATCCCTTCATCAGAGGTTATCATCAGCACTCCTATTAGATACATTGTTGTATTTCAGATACCTTGTGCTAACCATGAGTCATAAACTTACGATATATATTGTGCATAAAAATGACAGAAGTTGAAGTTTGCATAGAAAACAGACTTTTTCATTACCTTGTGTAATATAGTGTTTCATGATTATACACATGGAAAGTTCAGATTATCAGAAAAATGACAGGTAATGATTAATACCCGTGTACATTTCTCTGGTGTTTATACGGTTGTCAGCCCTGTAATTTACAGAACAGCCAATTAAATTATTGTTGGACTGCTTGAATTATGTTTTCAGAAAAGTGGATTTGAATGTTAGATAGGAAGTGGCTGACATTTCTATCCCCATTGTGTGTGTGTGTGTGTGTGTGTGTGTGTGTGTGTGTTTTACTGGAATGCAAATGCCTTCTACTGAAGAAAGCAAAGTGCTATTGATTTAAATGGAAATTTGAACATTAAACAAAGCAGCTGACTTAAAAATGACTTTGTACAGCAGGGCCTATTAGTATTGCATTACCATTCTTAATGCATAGCCAGTCAGATTTTTCATTTATTTCTGTAAAACATCTTTTTCCTCCCATTCTTCATAATTTCTTGTAAAGACTTCAGTGTCTAGACAGTTTTCTTCTATGTCAAAAAGACTTCTTCTGATATGTCAAAAATACCTTTGAATGCTCACAGAATTTTAACACTTAAGCTTTTTTCTTTTTTTCCTCCAAGGATGGCTATGATCATGATTTTTTTTTTCAACCTCTTCTCATAATAAAGCAATAAATACAAATACAGAATAAATCAGAGAGCAAATCAACCTGGCCCAATAAGAAGCCTAACTTGGATTTTGGAGGGTGGAAGATGAAAGTGGCAAGAATAGCAAGGTTAAGACATACTTCAGATCACCAACTGAAGCATGATCTTCCAATCAGGGAAAACTGTTGATCATGGTGATTTCCTGGAACTCAATATGAAAAGACATGGACTTTGGTGGACAAGCTATCATGGTTTCAACCTCAATGGCACCACTTATTAGCTGTGCAACCTTCAGAAAATCAATGGGTTGTTCACCCTGGAAAACAACAACAAAGAAAAATACATTCAAATATGTTGGATGTATCTGGGAAGTAGAAATGAAGATAATGACCCAAGCCACACAGTTAAGGCAAGCCACATATACATCTGCAGCAGGAAGTGTAAAGGGAAGTTTTACTGGCACAGGGGCAAGTTCATGTAAGCTGCTTGGAAACAGAGTTTATTGGTTTCGGACACTCAGAGCCAGATTTGGCATCAATTAATTGCCACTATAATTAAATGACAATTTAATTACATTACCGGACATACCTGTCCAGTAACGGCTGCAGAGGCCATTACTGAACCGGTGTTATTTTGAGAACATCTTATCTGAATTGCAGTAGTCCTAAAGAAAGAATTTCTTGTGGGGTTATTTTAGCAAGTCCTTGAGGCAGTCTTTATCTCAGCCTTACCAGCACGAACTCCTCCTTTTGGCTTTTTGCTTTAGTGTGTTTGGGCCTGACAAAAAAGTGATTTCATCATAGTATCTGCAACTTTCACAGGGTTCGCCTGTCTCACTTCTCTCATGGGGAAAATGAAAGTGTTGCTTACCACACAGGATTGCTGTAGGGACTGAATGAAACATAACGTGTAAAGAAAATGCTTAGATCAGGCACACAATATGTGGAACTACTTTGAATAATTATTTGAGCCCTGAATTGAGAGTGGTGAATACTCCTCCTCTGTCTCTGCTTCACCCTGCAGCATGAAGGAATGATTCTGAGAGAGACAGAGGAGAGGTGGAAGGACTTCCAGGAGAATGAAATAGCTTTGTTCTCATCCCAGTGGGAATTGAAAAGTCAGGTTTAAGATGCCTAGATATAAAATCCATGTGGATTACCACACTTGCAATATTCATTCCACTTTTATTTAGCACCAAGCCTCAGGTAGGTGTGTGAGGTTTATCTTCAACGTTTTGCTTTCTTTTAAACAAATGTGGCTTTTCCTTTATGTCACTTAGCTCCGGTCCTCAGACACCATGCCCCTTATTTTCCGACTATTATAACATTCCTGTAAGAGATACTGATATTTAAATTAATAAATCTTGTATTTCAAAAAAGCTGAAAAACAAAATGATAGCTGGTGGTGAATTTTGGGGTGCTATAGCAGGTTATGCAATAAATATTTCTTG